ACGTCCGGAATTTTTTTCAGTTTGGGTACGGTTTCGAGGTTACATTGCATTGCTCTGCCTTAAGGCCATCACACACAAAATTACATAGACGCATATGTATAGCATAAGATCGCGATATTGATTATTAAGTCGCCATATTGATGACTGATGCTTAATTTTCGATGCCCATTGGTCTATACGATCTTATGCTATGCATATGCGTTTATGTAATTTTGTGTGTGATGGCCTTTATGGCCGTTTATACGAAGTTTATGTTGTACGAATAAAATTTTAATCGGCTGTTGATAAGTGCCTCACATATGTTACACTATCAATGATTCTAAGGCTTCGTTCTTCAGTTGAACTGAAACGGCAAAGTGTACCTGAGACCGACAAAAAATGAAGATCAGTTAATTTTCTCATTAGTTTAATCTTCATTGTAATTTTATATTCTTATACTTGTATTTCTATACTTTGTTATAATTGTCTTTGCAATTTAGTTATAATTGTATCCGCAATATTACAGCATTATTGTTTATTACATGTAAATGTATTTGAGAGAATTCGAGTATAACTAATTTCTCTTTGTTGATAAAATATATAGTCACTGTCAAATATATTGCCTTGAATTTCTATTTCTTTGAAAATGCGTAACATATGTTATAGAGGTTTAGTCTCGGTTTAATGATTATTATATCGCTAATGTGAAATAATTTTGTAATATCTTGCATAGTAGGCAAGATGTACTATTTCAGAACTTTGAAGTTGCAATTTCTCAGACAACTAATTATTATGATAAACTGAGGAAACATCATAGAGGTCTTTTTGTATATGTGTTCATGTCCGCTTTGAAAGTGAATTTGTGTGTAACTCAATTTCAAAGCAAAATTAAAATATCCTTATAAGAAGAATAGAATAATTTTTTTGATAGCAATAATTAATTAATTAATATGTATACCCCACATTGTTTATATAAATAATATTGCATATGTTTGTGCAATTATGTTTAACATTAGTTATTTTATTATTCACTTAATGTATATATGTGTTGCACGGATTATAGTTGAGTAATTGTCGTATAGTATATACGTATAATATTCCAGATCAACGCATGTAAATGTTGTACGTGCTAATGGCTGTACGAAACTGTTATTTCATCAGTTACAATATATATTGCCAGTAAATCACAGAGTATTCGAAAATATACACGAATCTATTATTAGTGTCCTTCGGGCTATCATCAACTGAACATCTAAATTGAATTTGTGTACAGAATTGTTGTGTACAGAATTATTATATTCGCTCAAATATCCAGCATTATTTTTAAATAAATATAACTTTTAAAGTTAGTATAAATTGTCAATTGCATAAGTATATTATGTCCGATATAACTAAACGTCTGCGTTTAGTTAGAGAATCATACACAGGATACAATTATAATCAGTTTTTTAAACCGAACATTTGCCATGTCTGTAAGAAGTCAAGTAGCCAAGACGAATTAATCACATGAGATTCGTACGGCATGGTCTTTTATTGTTGCAATGAACATCAAATAATTCATAAAAGTTCGCATATGGAAGTCTGTGTCATTATGGCAAACGCAAGAATAGAAGATTGGGACGAGCGTACATCGTTTTAACTCAGATGAAGAATAGAGGTCGTCCCGAGAGATATTTATGCAAGGAATTCAAATGAAAATATCACGTGATTTAAAGTCATACGAGATAGAGATGATGATGTGCGCAAAATTATGCCTCATTTGTTACCTACAGAGTAATCTACGAACTTGCAACATTTGCTATTCCGCCAATTACTGTGACAAACACTATTTGAAATTTCAAGAAAAACACAAATCTAAGTGCACGGACTTACTGGTATTGTTAAACTTGAATATTTCAATTATCAATAACACTAACATAAAGTCATATCCACAAAAAATGAAGTTTCTTATAATGACAATAGGTTTTGATGACATGTTTATATTTGTTAATATATATATTAAAAAATATAGAAAACGGAATTTAGAAACTTGGGATGAGATCTCTTGCATCTATTCGGATTATGTCAGCTTCATTGACACTGTATGACAGGTTAAAGCAATTCAGACATTTACTTGATGTAACAGGAATTTATAAAATGGAATGTAGGTTTACTAAACACGCAGCACAATATCTCTTTATCGTACATATCGTAGGTGCGAGTTCAGTATATATAACGGGTTTACCATCGTGGGAGCTATTTATGTATTTTTGCAGTAAATATAGAAATTTTAGAATTGTAATTAAGGAATTAAGAGTTATATTGATAGGACCAGAAACAGATTGTGAGTGGAATGGATACTACAATGTTTGTTGAATATGCGGCAATTCAAATTAACAGCTTTATTTTGAAAATGCTCGTATGTCATATGAGGATTGTATGCGCACAAATTTGTATAAGCAAGCAAATATCATTATTGCATTTCAAGAAGAGTTTAATGTGGAGAGTGCCCTGTTAGATATTTTCGTCGCAACACAAGATTGTAAATGTGCGTTCTTTTCACCACATCATCACAAAATAAAGCGAAAGAAATCATAAATAAGATACAAGGAGTTATGAGTATCCCTCAAGAAAAGTATTCAATAAGAAATAAATTCCGTAATTTCAGGCCCTATAGAAACTAAGAGACTGGCGGAATTTATTATCGTAATATTCATTTCGTTGTGTTCTTATAAAGTTAAATAATACAAGCGAGA